TGGAGGGCAAAAAACAGCCCAACACACAAATGAACTTCTGGTTTGTGCATTGGATGGTTTTTTGCCCTCCAGAGGCTTCAGGTGGTTTCCCTGAAGCCACCAGAGGGTGAAAAACAACTGAAAATCAAGGTCAAAAATCAGCTGGCTGGTGCATGCTAGAGCTGACAGGACAACACCTCATGTGCCCTCAGAAATGGCTCCGCATGCCACCTGTGGCATGTGTACTATAGGTTCGCCATCACGACTACAGATGATCCAGTGAAGTTATTTGGAAGGAGAACTGATAACAGAAAGTACTTTTTTGTTATGGTTAGCAGATGCCAAGAAAGTACCTTGTCTTCTTTTTTGTCTTCATGTCTTCCATCCAACATAGCCTTAAAGTCAAATTTTTGTGACTTTTTGAGTGTCTTTCCCTCAACAGCTTTTTACCATGATATAGGGCTTCCCTAACATGTGCTAACCAGAAGTGAACAAACTTTTGTCTGTCAGTTTAATTAGTTGATTAGCGCCCTCCCTTCCACTTCCACCTATCTGAAATTGACAAGGTCTTAATCAGTTACACACTGAAGGTTTTAAGCTTCTAACAGGCTCTAAGAACATTCTTGTAATTGAAAAAAAAAAACTCATGTCTCTAATGCTGGAAGAAGTAATTTCATATGCATGTAAGCCTAAGTACCTTTTATTTGCAGTTTTTGTACTGCAATTTTTGTCAATGATGCCAAGAAAATTTAACAGTATGTTCTTCTTCTCTCCCTCTCCCCCATTCATCCTTCTTTCCAACTTTCCTTTGCCTGTTCAGATAGGAGATAACTCTATTTTTTACACTATACATAACAAACCTGTGGCATTCACCACCAGGAAATGTAGTGATGATTGCTAATTTGGATGCTTTTAAAGGGACTGAATAAATTCATGGAAGGTAGGTCTATTAAGGGCTATTTTATTTGAAGACTAAATGTTACCTTCAGATTGGGAACAGCATGCTTCCAAATACTAACTGCCGGTTACCAGCAGGAGAGAGTTACGTCTTTAATTCCTGCTCACAAGCACCTCAGAGAAATCTGGTTAGACACTGTGAGAAACAAAATGCTGGTTAAGTGAGATCTTGCTATGACTCGAAAGCGCTATTCTTCCACTCTTGTGACTTTAACTTGTTAGCCTTTGATCAATGAAATCTTTGTCATTGCAATTTTCTTAGGGAATGTATCTTTTTATTGTGTTAATATCCTGCTACAATCAATTTGACTTCACCAAATAATTTTTAGACTTCTTTAAAGAAAATCATACAAAAATAGCAACTTTTGCATCTCANATACATACATACATACATACATACATATTCAAGTATATAAATAATAAAAAACAACCTACGAATTAATCTTTTCAAAGACTTACCGATGTGTCACTTTTATTAAATTTGGTGCTGTGTTCTCTAAAATACTGCCAGTGCCACTGAATTCCTCCATATCCTTAGCATCATCAACTTCTCCTCCTCCTTCTGATTCTTGACTATTTTTGGGCTTTTTTGTGACATTCCATGGTAAAACAGGTTGATAGCCATCCTCCAAATCCAAATTATACACCTTCCCATCAAGCTCAACAGACACTGAGCGAATCGAACGACTTCGAATGTAGCTTGCTTTGTATTCTACACGAGAAATGAACAACACAATTTATGTGCATTTAGCAGGTCAGATATGGATTGACAGAAAATGTATTGCTGAAAAAATTGGTTAGGTCAGAAATGGAAGAATTCTTTATTTTAAAAAATAATTATTTTTTTCAGACACTGATCTAATAATATGAAAAATAATCAATTCCTACATACATAAACCAACTTTTATTACCAATGTAATATTTATTTTTATTATAATGGGGCCATATCATTTGCTTAGTTATATTTTTATATTTTTCATATGTTATGATTTAAATTTTTGACTATATACTTTGGAATATACTGTTGACATATTATTGAAAATTTATGGGAAAAATTTATTGTAGCTTACTAAGAATGACCAACCACAACCAGCTAAAACTGAATGCATGGTTGGATGAATAAATATAAAAGCCAAACTAAATGAAACTGCAAAAATGTATCTTGTTTTATATGACAGCCGAGAATAATTTTATTTTATTATGCTTGGTAGGTTTTAAGAGAAACTAAATTAACTTTGAACTAACTGGCGTAAATTACCTTCCAGTTAACTATGAGATTGTAGAGTTACAGAGCTGATACGCGCCTGCTGCAATATTTATTGCTGTAGGATTATGAGTTGGACTACAAAAGATCTTGAATGAAGATTTTATATGGCCTAAATTTACGGAAGTAATCAAACAGCTTTTAGTCTATGTTCTTATAGAACTTCTTTTTACTGAAATGGCTTATTTCTACATTCTTGCCATGTGATGGCAGCAAAAGTTCAGAAAGCTGGAAAAGAAGTGAAAATAAATGATGCTCAACATGAATGTTTCATGCAATCTAAAGAGCCACAGAAAAACTTTTATTAATGTTTTATGGTGGCTTTTGCTTTTGATTTCCTTTGAAACTGCTTTCCCATCTAGAGAATTCTGAAACTCAGCAATTGAAGACTATTACTCCATATTTCTCATCTTTAGTTGTTCTCTATTTCAACTTTCTTTTTCCTATTAAGCCAGCAGAATCCCTGCTCTTTAAACCGCAGTTTCAAGCTTTGTTGTATTCTATTTCTCTTGCTTTCCCTGTCACAATTTTCCCATTTGAGTGAAACTCTAGATGGCCATTCCTCTTCCCTCTGGTCATGAAACCCCAGGAACTTCTCCAATTCGAAATTCTCCCCTTTCAATTCCCAGAAATTGCCAGCAGTTTTAAGGTCAATAAAAGATGGCTTATTGGAAGCCTCACTCAGACTTGGCAGCATTGGGTAGGATAAGTGTATTGATTCATATAGAAATATAAATGTCCCCTATTTCTTGTTTGAGGCCCATTTCTACTAATTCATAAGAAGGAGTCACAATTTGCACTGTTTGCTCAGCATTTAGGAGTGATGGGCCTGTTGCGTTATTCACAATATTCACAGAGTACAACAGGATTATTCACTAACCTGGGCTTCTAAATCTCCACCTGAGGCTTAGCCAGTTGAATCATAGCTTTAGGGGAAAAGAAGGTTCTAATTTATGGAACATTTGACTAAAATGAGGAAACTCCCTTCCCTTTTAATACTAAGAGGAAATTCTAAGAAGTTACACCCAAAAAGAAGAAACTAAAAAGAAACTTTCTCAGCAAGAATCGGTTTCCTTTATTATGAGGTGTGTGTTTCCATTTGCTGATATCAAAAAGCATACCCCATTGTAAAACCTGAATAGAATGTAACATTTTAAAATGCTAAACAATGTTCAAAGACAACCAGCCAATTATCAAAAATGAATCTGTTGTACTGCTTGCCTTTCAAATAGGAGATTTCAATACAAACAACACATGAAGTGGTGTTTTTCAATGAAATGCAAAGAAGCAAATGACCTTATTTTTTTGACTGAAATTGTGGGTGCTCAAAGATTTGTGAACCTTCTGAATTTTCAATGTTTCTGCATAACTATGACCTAAAATATAGAAATAGAATAACAGAGTTGGAAGGGACCTTGGAGGTCTTCTAGTCCAACCCCCTGCCTAGGCAGGAAACCGTACACCACTTCGGACAAATGGTTATCCAGTATCTTCTTAAAAACTTCCAGTGTTGGAGCATTCACAACTTCTGGAGGCAAGTTGTTCCACTGATTAATTGTTCTAACTGTCAGAACATTTCTCCTCAGTTCTAAATTCCTTGATTAGTTTCCACCCATTGCTTCTTGTTCTATCCTCAGTTGCTTTGGAGAGTAGTTTGGAGAGTAGTTTGACTCCCTCTTCTTTGTGGCTACCCCTGAGATATTAGAACTCTACTATCATGTCAACCCAGTCCTTCTTTTCATTAGACATACTCAGTTCTTGCAACCGTTCTTCATGTGTTTTAGCCTCCAGTCCCCTAATCANAGGAGGCATCTCCTGTTTTGGATGGTACCTGATTGGATCATGTGATGGACATGTGGGTGCTGGGCAGGGACTTGATCTTTCTTTTGGGTGGGGAAAACCTGGAAACTTTCAGATTCAGGTTTTCCCAGATGTGCCAATATGAGGTCTCTAATAAAATGGAACTTTGAGGAAACTCTAGCTTCAGAGTCTTCTTTTGTTAGAGGTGTTATTGGAACCCTGACAGAAGGACTGTATCAATTGGAATGAAAAGAGAATTAATATTAAATGTACTTCATTTATTTCAAGGGACCTAACAGCAAACACTGAACTTCTGAAAATGTTTTTTTTAACCAGAAGCATAAATTGGGATAAAATTCTTACATTTTTATCATGAAAGTTGAGATTTCTACATGTCAGTTTATTTCCTGTTCCCCAAATCATGACTCACTGATCATTCTCTATCTTTAATTTAGATTTATTTTTATTACTAGGATAGAGAATAAGTACAAATAATAACAGACAGAAAGTTGTGTAGAAGAATATCAATATGATGTGATTTCTAATATTTCTCAAAAAAATGTTTGTCTTTTACAGAGGAAAAATAAAACATTCAGTTGAACATTTAAGTCTGCCTACTATCATCAGACACCAATTTAGCAAACAGATGCAATTCTATTTTTATAATTTTCTATTAATATTCTATTTCTATTTAAAAGTTTTATTTATCTTGAACTTTATTTGAAAATTAAATTATTTATTTATTTAAAATTTAAAGATTATGATAGATTATTCACAATATTCCAAATTTAGAAAACATTTTAAATGGCTGCTGAAAGACTTATTTTCACAATGAAGTACTAAATAAATGTCCACAATGTTGTTATTTCATGTTGGCTAATATTACCTCAATTTGGCAGGGTGCTCTTCCATTATGTGAGTGAATTGTTACAAGAGAAGCACAGCAACAGTTGTTCACAGTGATTAGGATCATCAATGTTTATTTTCATAAATAAAGGGAAATTCATTTTCTAGTTTGCAAAAGCATACAAGTACTTTTTATATAATTAATGCATATTATGAAGTCAATTAAATATGGGGATATCAACTTCATATGTGAATTAGATCAGAATCAAGTTTTTATAGAACAGTTAATAAAGAACAGTATGGGCCAATAAAAGGAATTATTAGTCTGTCTAAAATTCATGCCGTGTCTCCTTTTGTTTTTTGTTTTTAAATGGTATGCTTGAAGATGTATCTGTAGCAAGGAAAGGAGAAAATACTTGTTTCAGTTAGGAGCGCAAGGAGCCAAATTTTGAGAATTTTGACAAGGAGTCACAATAATCTGTGGTCAGCATCAATTTATTACTGGAAGTGCATGCAGTATCAGAAGCAAAATACAATAAGGCATCATATGAAAAGAGGACATAGATAGACCTACAGTACACAGCTGAAAGATTGGGCAGTACAAATGTAACACTATATATTTTAGGGCTGCAACCTCTTGTCACACAAATGCTATGAAGCAATCTTAACAATATTTGTCATGAATTTTATCTTGATGAACTAATGAAAGTGTATTTTGAATAGTTATCAGGTATAAAAGAAGAGAAAGATGACCATCTCTTTATTATTAATTGTTATCAAGTACAAGTTAACAGAATGATGACCATCTTCTCAGGCATGGGTGTCAAACTCACAGCGTCACATTGACATCATGTGATGTATCACAATGTTTTTCCCTTTGTGGACTTGGGCATGGCCTCCGCGTGACACATCCAGCCCAAGAACCGCCAATGTGACACCCCTGTCCTAAGGTAAAGACTTTTAATCAAGCTATATTCCTAATGACTATATGAGTATAATATAAATTTCTGGGGAACAGTTTTCTGGGCCACAGGAATTGGTTTGCATTGTCCTTTTTGGAAAGGATTTTTTATTTAAAAAAACAACAACTTCCAATATAGCTTACATTCCTGGAACTTCCTGATGGGTCTCCCACTCAAGAATTAAGCAGGGTTCCACCCGGAGGAAATCTTGCTTAACTCTTCTCAAGATCAATGAAATTCAACAATGCACTCTCATTTGCTACAATATGCTTCCTGCTTGTGATTAAAAGAAGAAAAGGCAGAGCAGTTTTGCCTAAGTATCACTTTATAGCATGGTGCACATTCAAATGCCTGCATAAAAAGTTTGCCATTTTGTTGTAGCTTCTGTTTATGAATACCGGTAGCAGCTTCATAAGACATGGCGACACATGTTTCTCTTATAAAGGTTTCCTTTCTAAATAGAAAAAGGGGTTATAAAAACATTTCTTTACAAAGAACTTAGTTTATTTTATATTTACATTATTCACAGTTGCAATGCTTCTGCATTGGAAATCAAAGAAACAGAGCAATATAATAAAACAGAAAAGGAAGATGGTCATCATAGTGGAACAGAAATAGGAATCCCTCACAAAGATAGGCAAAAATCATTCAAGGTATTAAAAGAAAAACTCTGACAGGACCACAAGAGTCTATTATATCCAACAATTGAGTTATAGTACTTGCTGTGCTTATTTCCTCACCTGGTCTACCTTAAATGGTTGATATAATGAGAGAAATGTTCTCTCAGATAATTATGACCTATGATCCATAGGTCACTTATTGCTTTCTCTCCCCACTCCCACTTCTTCTTTTTCTTACCCTCAAATTCTTTTAGCTTGTCCAGGTTTAGCTTGTCCAAAAATGGCAAGCTGTGATTCATTTAAAGGGAAATGTGGGAGGGTATGGGCATTGCAGTTGCCACACATCTACATGCTTTCCTAACCAAATGAGGATATTGCCAGAATTGATCTGACTTATGGAATATGTATTGTACTAAGCTGTTGAGCTGAACCAGCTGACATTTAAAATCTGGCTAGAGATTTAA